CCCCCCCCCCCTCCCGCCCAACTTTGGTGACACGTCGCACTCACACCCCACACACCACCACCCCACCACCGCCACCCCATCCCCCACACCACACCACCACAACACCACCATACCCCAAACCACGCCATGGCCGCAGGGAGACTATTGCCGTCGTCGGCGACCCTCATGGTTGTGGCCCTCTGTCTCCTCTGCACCATGTGTATGTCTGTCGTCCTCTTCCTCCCTGAGCTCTCGCCGGTCTCCGTCCCGCCCACGACCTCGCTCGCGTCCACAGGTCCGACAGGCGGTGGTGCAGGTGGCTCGGCTGCCGCAGGTGACGGTGGCGGTCGTGATGCCCATGTCCTCCCCCTCCGGCTGATACCACCACCTCGACCTCGTCTGCGGTTGCCGGGCCAGGCGCCGACGCAGACAAGATGCGGGCGGTGCGCGAGGCAATGAAGCACGCTTGGGGTGGGTATGTCGAGCATGCATGGGGCGCCGATGATCTCAAGCCGGTCTCAAAGTCGGCGTCCAACTGGCTCGGTGGGTCGGGCGCAACGGTGCTCGACGCGCTCTCCACGCTGCACATCATGGGCCTCTCGGACGAGTTTGCCAAGGCTCGCGGATGGGTGGCCGATGTGCTGACGTTTGACAAGCGCGGCTTTGTCTCCACCTTTGAGACAAACATCCGGTCGCTCGGCGGCCTGCTCTCGGCCTACGACCTCTCGGGCGATGCCGTGTTCCTGGAGAAGGCCATCGACCTGGGCAACCGGCTGCTGGAAGCATTCAAGACGCCGACGGGTCTGCCGAATGGGCTCATCGACCTCGCCACCGGTCAGGGCCGCCCGCAGTCATGGGCTGCCGGCGGCGGCATCCTCTCGGAAATGGGCACCATGCAGCTCGAGTTCAAGGTCCTCTCGCAGCGATCAGGCGACGACAAGTACGCCAAGGCTGCCGAGAAGGTCATTGACCTCCTCGATGCTCTCCCGACGCCCGACGGGCTCTATCCGCTGTATGTCTCGCTCGACACCGGCACTTTCCGTACCAACCAGATCTCGCTCGGCGCACTGGGCGACTCGTTCTACGAGTACCTGCTCAAGCAGTGGCTCCTCACGTCCAAGACCGAGCCCAAGTACCGCCGCATGTACGACGAGACCGTGGCCGGCATCCGGCAGCACTTGGTGGCGCGAAGCACCAAGTCGGGCCTCACCTACGTCGCCGAGCGCATGGGCAATCGCCTCGTCCACAAGATGGATCATCTCGCGTGCTTCCTCGGCGGCATGTTCGCGCTCGGCGCCGAGAGCCACCAGCTCGACGATGAGGTTTTTTCCCTTGGTGCCGCCATCACCGAGACCTGCCACCAGCTCTACGCGCGCTCGCCGTCGGGCATTGCGCCCGAGTTTGTCAACTTTAACGCCGGTGGCGACGACTTTGTTGCCGGTGCCCCGTACTACCTGCTCCGGCCCGAGACCGTCGAGTCGATGTTCATCATGTGGCGTCTGACACACGACCAGCAGTACCGCGACATGGGCTGGGCCGTCTTTCTCGCTCTCGAGAAGATGTGCAAGGTGCCGAGCGGTGGCTACTCGGGCCTCAAGTCGACGCTCACCACGGCCCGCACCTGGGATGATGCCCAGCCGTCGTACTTTCTGGCCGAGACCCTCAAGTACCTCTACCTGCTCTTCACCGACGACTCGGTCATCCCACTCAACGAGTGGGTGTTCAACACCGAGGCCCATCCGCTGCGGGTCTGGGATCCGACCACCGCCTGAGCATCCAGTCGAGACCTGGTGCACTCGGCCTGTCGCCATCAACGCAAGGACAATGTGTGCGGGGCTTTGGTCGGCTACGATTGTTTCGATGTAAAGGTTCGGTCAGTGGCTGTGCTTGTCACACGCGATGCAAGGGGGGGAGTGGGGCGGGACGTGTCGAAGTGGCACGAACTTGGCAGCCACGCTGGCCCCCAGGCCGCAGAACAGAGTTGTTGTCTCGGGGCACCAGCACGCGGTGTGTGGACGGTGTGAGCATGACTACTCCGGTGCCGCGCAGCTCGCCCGCCAAGAGTCTACACCGTACGGCAGGCCGGGTGGCGGAGGGTGGCGGGGAGGGGGTGGCGGGGGTGCGGGAGGGGGTGGCGGAGCGGGCGTGGGTCAGGATGGGCGAGGCCAGACTACGCCACGCCGCCACCGCGCCAGCCGCCGGACACAGACGTATCGCGGGGCAAAGCATCAGTCGACGCCGCATCGCGGGGCAAGGAATTGGCAAGGGATAGGGATTAGCAGGTTGGCGGTGCGTGGCAATGGTGGTGTACGCAGGCTGCACATCACAAAGACTCACCCACGCGCGTGGTGGTGCATGGCCAGCCGGGGCAAGTGCCCGGGTCCGGGTCGATGGCTACGACGGGACCATGCGGGTCATCGGCTCGACCAAGCGGGGCGAGGCGGGGGGCGGCGACGGCGAGAAAGCCGGCAGCGGTGGCGACGGGGCCGAGGCCGGTGGCGACGCCGGGGACTCGATCTGGGACCGCCAGCAGCTCATTGCCCGCATCACCAAGCGCAAGGAGCAGGAACGCAAGGTGTTTGACCATCGCGGTGGGCCGGGCGCCGCAGCTGAATGCGTCGGAGGCGAGCCGTCGAGAGGAGGGCTGAGGGGACGCGGTGGTAAGCGGGGTGGCAGGGCGGGGGCACGCCCGCCGCGCGACGCGCGCTGGTCCTCCAGCTCAGAGCTGCCGTGCGGCGAGGCGCTGGAGGCAGTGACAGCCGGCGGAGCAGCGCCGCCGGTTGTTCCGATGCTCTCACCGCGGCTGATACAGCGGTCATCATCCGGAACGAGCAGCTACGGCGGCCACCTGCCGATGGCGGTGCCGGAGCGGCGCGGGCGGACGAGCGGGACGTCGTCAGCCAACTCGAGCCGAAACTCGTCGCGGTCGCGGTCGGGCTCGCGGTCGGGCCAGCGGTCGCGGTCGGGTCATCGCGGCTCGCTCTTTCCACAGAAGCTGCGTGAGCGCGAAAAGGCGGTGCTAGGGCATGGAAGTAGCCATGCGCGCACGTCGCCGATGGAGGTGCTCAACAACCAGCTCGCGGAAGTCCGCGCTGAGATCGCCGACATGGCGGCACCGCTCGGCTCGCCGCGGCTCACCCGCCGCGACTCGGTCGAAGTCGCCGACCTCCGCGCCCGCCACTCGCACCGCCTGCAGCAGATGGAGGCGCTGCTCCAGAGCCAGATCGCCATGCTAGCCCGGTTCGTGGCGCTCGAGGCATCGAACCGCAGGCTGGAGGACAACTACGAGGCGCTCGTCGGTTTGCTCGTCGCTTCGGGCGTTGTTCCCGACCAGGCCGTCCCGTGAGCTCCAGCTATGCGTCCGACCTTGCCAGCGCTCGGAGCGCCGTGAGAAAGTCAACAATCTGGGGCGCGTCGCGCGACGCCGCCTCGGACCACAGCGCATCGACCATAGCCCCGATGCGCGGCGCAAGCCACGGGATGTCTTCTGACGCCGCAACGAGGATGTCGAGCCACGTCTCGGGTGCGCCTCCGCTGCCGCGGGCGAGAGCCACCACCGCGCACGAGACAAGCGTGTCGACCAGATGCGGCTCGGTGGCCAGCAGCTTGCTTCGCCCGCCTCGAGTGAGCCGCGGCAGGACGCCGCTAGCGCCCCAGAGCGATCCCACTAGCCGCGAGGTAAAGAGCGCCACAACCGCGGCATCGTATTGTGGCGACCGCGCATCCAGAGCGAGGCGGGCCATGGCGTCGACTGCCAGCTCCAAGCCGGCGACCAGCGATGCCAGCTGGAGCTCGCACCCGGTCGCCTCGGCCATCTCGGCCAAGACGGCGAGGCTCTCGAGAAAGCCGGTGACAGCGGTTGCGCACGCCTCGCCCTGCAGCAGGCCGCATCCGAGAGCCTCAATCCCCAATCGGGCCTTGGCCACTGCCTCGGTTGCCGCCTCGGCGCCGCTGCCGGGCCTGCGGGTGCCGCCAGCGAGCAGCAAGCGCGAGAGCGCCGCCGCAGCCGCGGCGGGGTCTGCGGCGGCCACGGCGGTGAACGAGACGGCAAGGGCGGTGGCGGTGGCGGGCGCGGCCAGGAGCGGTGCAAACGGCGCGAGGTCGACGTCTGTGAGGGCGGCGTCGAGTATGGCTGTGGGGGTGGGCTCGGTCATGCAGTCATGCGAAAGAAGGGGGTGAGGTGGTGGCGCAGCGGCTGGTGGCGGCGGCGGTGCTTGACAGGCGACTTTACTGTGGTCGGTGGCCGGCTAGAAGGCAAAGGCAAGACACGGTGGATCGACGCTTGCGTGGACGCGGTTGGAGGTGCCGATGTCCTGGGTGGAGATCCAGCTCTGGTTGTTGACAGCCCGTGTCCGCCAGTTGGTGTTGAGCTCGATGGTGGCGATGCGCGGCCGAGGAAGTGAGGCCTGGTCGGGGCCAGACGGCTCGCCCTTGTGCCAGTCGTAGCCGAGAGCGGCGGCAAGGTGGGTGCCTGTGGGCGAGTAGGCAACAGCGGTGATGGGTGCAGGCAGGGTGTTGAGGTTGCGGAGCCGCTGGCGCGAGCGATGGCACCAGATGTGCATGGAGCCATCCGAGCCTGCGGTGGTAAAGGTGGGGTAGGAGGGATCAAAGGCAATGTCGGTGATGGCGTAGAACTGGCCGGCACTGCGGTTGCGGTGGCACTTGAAGGAGAAGGCCGCAGAGCGGTTGTCTTGGCTCATGGGCTCGACGGCGCAGCGGCCGCCGATGGAGCCGATGATGTAGCCGTCTGTGTTGGAGGAGATGGCCAGCTCCGAGGGCTTGTTGCGGATGCCCGGCGAGGCGCAGACTACGTCGGACATATTGCGCATGTCGTAGATGTAAGTCCGCTGGTCTGTGGCGGCGACGATGAAAGGCCAGCGCGCGTCCATGGCGATGAGGCTCTCGGCGATGGCGACAGTGCCGTACGGCTTCAGCACCGACGACCGCAGCATGCGGGTCCGAGACGTACTCGTGGTCGACATCGACTCGCGCTTCCACAGCGCGTTCATTTGGTTCGCCACCGGCGGCGTTCCGGTTGTGCCGGGCACGGCCACCGATGCCACAGCCTCGGCGTGGGTCCGTGGATCCCAAAACGCCAATGTGTTGCTCCAGTCGGCGGAGATGACCGAGTGGCCGAGGACTCCGGACTTGTCGGTCCGGACCTTGAACACGCCGCCGTGAGTCAAGCCGAGCGTTGACGAGCCGGTAATCATCGCTGGGCCTCCGTCAGCAGCGGCCGCGGCCGCCGTTGCCGCCGATGACGACGACGCCGCCGACGACGACGCTCCTCCAGCGCCTGCTCTCGCCACATCGACGGCGATGACCGAGCCGAGGCCACCAGCGACATAGATGGCGTCCTGCGAGTTTGCCCAAGCAAGCGAGAGCAGCGGCGAGTTGAGCGAGAGCGAGCAGAACCGCTCTGCGGGCGAGGAGGAAGGCGGCAAGACACGCGGGTTAGCAGCGTGGTCGGAGCTCACCAGCTGGAGCGAGCCATCCCATGTGGTTGCGGCGAGGAGCGGGCCCCACTCGAGGGCAGAGACTGTGTCCTTGAGGCAGAGATCGCCGTTGCTGATGTCGCAGAAGCCCTGTAGACCGCGGTTGCTGGTGGATGTCTGTAGATGGTGCGGGGGGAGGGGGGGTGAGAGCGGGAGAGGGCGGGAGGGGGGGAAGGGGGGGAGGGAGGAAGGGGTGCGTACGGAAGACATGGGAGGGGGGGGCGGGGGGAGGGGGGATGGGGAGGCTGGTGGTTGTGGGGAGGGGGGTGGCGGTGAGGGTAGTGGTGTGGAGGTGTGTGTGTGTAGCCATACCCCTGCCCCTTGCCCCCCTA